GTTATCAGTGGAACCTTTGTGTCTGGTGAAATTGGAGTCATCCTTTGTCTTTCACATACTCTAGATTTTAGACTATAGCAATTGATACCCTCATTTAATTTCCTCAAGCTCCTACTTTGACAAAATTTGAAGTCAAGTGGATCACTATCAGGTTCTCTGTCTCTCCATGAGCCCTCAATTCTTTTTTGGTTAAAAGTCTTCTTGTGTCATGTGGTGAAGCAGTGAAAAGTTTACCAGAAAATGCAAAAACATAAATTCCTGAATAATGTCTTGTTCATAAATGAATTGAGGTGTGTATTGTGTAAGAAGCTCTGCAAAAAATTGTAGTTATCAATTTATCACTGAAAGCAAAAGTTGTGCAAATGTTTGCATTTGGCATGGGCTATTGCAAAGCTAAGGTGCCTTTCTAAAATTGCATGTCAACTGAAAACAATTGCACAACTTTTCCTTGCAGTGTATGTTTATACATTTATGCACCAACTTTGAACCTATTTATGGTATTCAAAGTTGAAATGCATGAAATCATAACCGCATAAATCATAAGATCTTAAAACCTTGTTTGCAGGGGATCTTGGTAATCTGATTATGTAAGCTTTGGCTTTCCCAGCCAAAATGTTTTATGATTATATAATTTATGCACTCTATGATTTCATGCATTTCAACTTTGAATACCATAATTGGAGGTATAACTTCCAAGTCTGTCCATCTAATTTGAAGGAAACCCCCCAATGGATGTCTGTTGGTGTTTTTTGGGAATTGGGGGCTAGAAAATGGAAGTTGTTTTTCCAACCTCATAAATTCATGTGGAATATTTTGCAATCATTCACTACATTAGTGGTATTCAGAGTTGAGTGGAAATGCCTTTCAAAAGGGTTTGCCAGTCAATCTGCACAACAAAGCATGCATGTTCAGCTCCCATTACTCATTAAAAGGTTAGATGTGGCTAGTAGAAAGCCATTTGTGAAGATCTCCATGCATAAGAGTGACTTGCAAAATGTTTTGCAAGTCACTTGCACTCAACTGTGAAACCCCCTAATAAAGAGGCAGTTGGAAAAACAGCCACCAACCTTTGGGGTAAAAATTACCAAAATTTTGGAAACATTGAGAGCCAGTCCTGAGTCAGGATGAAAGTGGGTCGGGTCAACCCGCAAGTGACCTGCGACCTGTTGGGTCTTGGGGCGGGTTTGGGTTGACTTTATGTAAAAAAAAACTAAGTGACCTGACCCGCGTGTGACCCGCTTGAATACCAGGTTGGCCAAAAACCCTACTACTGACCCGCTTGAGGGCAGAGTCCGTGGTTTGGCTTCAGCCTTCAGAATCTGAACGGTCCCACGCAGCCTCCAGGATTCAGGATCCCTCAGCCCTCCGTTCAATTGGTCATCAACCTGACCTACACCTAGACAACAAGCGCTTCAGGATTTGTGATCATGGATTCTATCACTCTTGGACTTGGAACGACTGACAACGCTTTGAATCGATTGAACTTGGAATCTCAATTCTTGAGCTTGGAACTTGACAGACGCTTTGTGCAGAATTGTATGACCAATCAAAGCTCAAACCCGCAAGAGACTGTCCATCGCCAATTGCTCAAGACCACCCCTGCTGATGCAAGAATGGCTTGCAGTCGGATCAAGCCCCCGCTGACCCACTCCAAGAAGTGATCGATGATTCTACTTTTGTCCAATGAAGAAAACAACCCTCCTGATGATCAAATGATACCATCAAGTGGTTCCAAGGCCAAAGAAAGTATAAAAAAAAGTAAGACTGACAAAATACACAATTCGTTATTTGATCAATTAAAATTAAAATACATGTTAAGTTACAAAAAGTTGTCTTTTTCTGTTTCTATTGCTTAGAAATGTAAATATGCTCCAAATGTTTGTTCCAAGCCTGACCCAGAAAGTGACCCACGACCCAACCCTGACCCGCCTGCTCCCCCAGGTGGGTTGGGTTTGGCCCTGGGCAGCAATATTGACTTTATGACCCAACCCAACCCAACCAGCCACAGCTTGAATTTACTTGAATTAGAATGAAACACAAAAATTTTCCACAAGAAAAAACTTCCATCTATGTAAATTTATAAACATGTTTGGATTGAATTTCCAACACATTTTGAGAAAAGATGATTTGCTTCAGCTTGATATTTGTTGTTTATTTTTTTGAAACTCACATTTCATATATACTTTCCAAGCGTGTTGAATAGACCAAATGTGTTAGACTAGGTATGGCCATTTCCTGTTCAGACAGTATAAATACATTCAATTTTTTATGTAGGATAGAGGCACAAGTACAGAAACACTGAGACATGGGCTTCATGTAAATCAAATTTATGTAATTGCATCAGTTAGTCTGTATAATCAGTTTATTCAGTTTATTCATGGTGGTACTTTCTAAGGTGATCACATGTGACCAGTCTTTCTAAGATTCTTGGCAAGGAAGCCATGTTTCATTGTCATACAGGCACTTTGTAAGATTCTTGGCAAGGAAGCCATGTTTCATTGTCATACAAAATAAATGTATGGACTGACAATGTAACTGTACAGACAATCTGGGCCACTGGAAAATAAGAATACAAGAGGGAATAAAAACTATAAATATCACACCTTTTTTGAAGTCTGGCCCTCAGAAAAATTTAATTTCAGTTTCAAAACTGTCCACTCCAAAGTCTAGCTCACCTCATCTTCTAATATTTAATATAATTTCTCTTTTAAAAATTTTCAAATATGAATATCATGTGGATAAACATGGCTATACAATTATTAACCTTTCAACTAACAGCAAACATTCAAAGTGTTGATGGAAGCTTCATGAGGAAATCCACAGTCAAAGGCAATACAGGTACTTATCGATTTTTTTTTCTTATTGATCAGGGCCACACAAGCATAGATGATATTTTCTACTGACACAATCCCATCACTCTACTTCTTTTTATCAAACATAGGCCTTCATCAAATTATTCAAGAGTGTCAGTTTTTCTCAGAGTTCTTCCTTCAAGCATTGGACTGATTAAACTCCAATTGAAAAATGAGCAGGTGATCACTCTCCCAAGGAAGGGAAAATTTCCTGTGGATGTTATTCCAATAAAATTCTCACTAGAGGTTTCAAGGAACTATCTGCCACTAAAGCAATCAACAGTTCTCTGAAAGATGGTGAAATTTCCAACAAGGGTAAAATTAGGAGTGGTGAGTCTCTTCCACATCTCAGATATATTGAATATTTTGTGCTTAACAAGAATCCGCATTAATTTAACTGAATTCAGAGCCCTGGAAAGCAGTTTATGCATGTTACTCCAAGACCATCAAGGATTTCACAGCTTGGAGATCTGATTACACAAAGCTGAAATTGGATGAAGAAACAAATCAAGAGGTTGAGGTGCACTTGAAAGAGGTCATCAATTCCGTAGAAAATCTGTTTGAGAAGAAGCTTCATCAACTGGAAAATCAATCCTATCATTCTATACAGGGATTGAATACACATGTTTCAGAAAGAATGTTTGAGACAGCAGATCAAGATTGGCTTTCATACATTGCTGATTTTTTGAAGATTGAGAGAATAACAAGCATCTCAAAAGGAGATGATCAAGAACGTAATAAAAAAATTGAATCTGCAATCATGCGTTGGCGAGAGCTCACAATGGATTTCTTCATTGATTCACAAGAATTCAACATTGTTTCTGAACAAAGTTTAATTCATTTCCTCAACAAGAAAACCAAGGGAAAGTTGATCTCAGACTATATTATCCACTGCTTTGATCCAAAAGGTTACAAGTTCCGTCTTTACAACTTTGACCTCATACTAAGCCTCAAAGAGTCACCATTGGTGCAAAGAATGTCTGGACTATTCAAAAGTAGGTTTTAGTTTCTGTTTATAGATAATGAAAACATTACCACATCCTCCATTACTGATCACATTCAATCTGATACAGTTTTGCAACAGGAAGCATGGGAAAATATTGAGTTAAATGTGTTGAAGGTTCAGATTGATTCGGTTTTAGAGATACCAGTGATTTTACCTGAAGATTATTCAGAAGAAATGAAGAAAACAATGAAAGATGTTCTTGAAATAATTTCACCCAAAAAGGGTGAATTACCTGATATTAGGTCTTTCCTGGACAGAGTACTGCTACCTTACATAGCCTCAGACAGCAAGTCAGTTCATGAAGAACAAGAGGTCCACATTATACTGAATTCAAAATTGTTATATGATTTTTTAAGATTCTTCATTCGATATCATTCCAAGGATCTACCTGCTAGCTTCATCAGAGATATATTGAATGGATCAGAAAGATTCAGGAAAATCCGTCTATTTGAAGAAGACATTGGTTTATATTACAGTATGTCCCACTCAAAATATGTCAGGTATCAAGTGATTTTGAACCATCTGAGTCCAGCTTCTGATGGGCGGCTCAGACATGAGTTGAAGCATCAAGTCAATTCACTAATAGATTCCAATGAAAATCGAAAAATTTCAAATTTTGAAATCACTGAAGACAATCATTCTCATAATTATCCAAATTTTCCAGATGTTGATCAATACAAGCTAGATCGTATTCTCACTGACAGATTGTCTGGACTCCTCCATGATGGATCCAGTATTGATGTTTCTGATAGAAAATTAGAACAACAGATCAAAACATATCTCCATCAAAATCAGGTCCTGGGTGGTCAACCTATGAATATCAAGCAAAATATTCTCTACAGACTTGTACATGTTGAAGAATATTATTGCACTACAATCAAACAGTTCAGAAAATTATTTCATCTCAAGCAAAATAATATTTGAACAGATGTTTTTTTCATATCTTTCAGAGACCAACAACATTTTGTTTCCATTTCAATTGGTGCTTTTTTCTTCATTTAAATGGGTATAAGATTGTTGCAGAGCTCATATGAATTACAATCCCTTCTTCATTTTAGGTGTTTACAGTTTAACATTCAAACATTTATGCATCCATACTTCATAAATAAGAAAATCTTGTTTGTGGAGAGTCTAATTGACAATCTGATTATACAATCCATAGATTCCCTACCAAAAAAGATATGATAATTTGTGAAACATGCATGGCTAAACAATTGCATATTTAAATTTGAATGCCATGATGTTTGACCCACTTCTGTCACATCCTATTGCATAGAATTCTTCCACAAATTACATCTCACTTATTTCTGCAACTTTCCTGAGTTATAATTGTTTTTCTTCTTTTCTTTTGATCTTTTCAGTATCTTTTGATTCTTTCTTGGTTTCTCACAGTCCTAAATCCATTAAAAAATTTCATCTAAATGATATATTATGACCCCCCCCCCCCCTATAACAAACATATCAAACTCCATATTTAAGGTGCTACAGACTTGGTCATTCCAAGTGCTGAGTGTCTTAATACCTTTTCTTGTTGTTTCTCTCAGTCTTTCTTTCCCTATAACAATCTCTGATGTAATGGATTGTGATCTGTAATCTGATTGTTTCTTTCATCATCTGATTTATCATCTATAACTTAGGCCCCGTTTGGCCGCAACTCACGATTTGTGATTTGGCTAAGGTTTGGTGCGGATTCGGACCGTGCAATATAAAACGATATAAAGTTTTTGCACAAACTCCTGCCAAACCTTGACTCAAAATTACAAATTACGGACGGCCAACCGGGGCCTTAATCCTTCCACAATAATCTGGTCCAGCCTTCAGCTATTCATCATTGGATCATGGACATGTTGGCTCAAGTCAGACTTGCATTGGTGGTGAATAAGAGTTGGAGGGATGGTAGTGAGGAGCAGTGTGGGGCCCTTGAAAGCAACAGTGGGCCACTACACTAACCTTGGCAGTTAGTGCATCATAACATAGCGGAATTCCACTAAACTTTAGTGTAGCATAGCAGAATTCCACCACGTCTGCACTAACACTACACCTGTAGGCCCCAAAAATGGGCTCGCTGCGCTGGTTAGCAAAAATTTGGCCCTGTAGCGCTGTTAGCAGCCCACAGTCATAGTGTAGCAAAAATCGGCTAAAAATGTGCTAATAATGCATGATTTGGGCCCCAAAAAAAATTGCTGCTACACTAACACTTTTTGGGCAAAAAGTGTAGCATAGCGTATTGAGTTAGTATGCTTGTATCCATATTCAGTATGCTTTGACCATAACACAAAGCAATCTTGTTTATACTTATAGTCTACACAAGATTGGCTCTGGGCTTTCCTTCTCGAGTGAATCAGAGCATTATTTTTCTCACTCCAAAGTGTCACTAGAGTTTCAGTCTGTGAACTTCAGGTTGTTCATCCTGTGTCCCAGCATTGTTGAAGGCATACAGCGAGGGGTGGTGTGTGAGCACAGAGAAGGCAACCTATGAAATGAATTGGATAGACTTGGATACCCAACTAATATCCTTTTTAGACAAAGTGTGCATGCATGTAAATCAGTCATAAACATTTCTTTTCAAAGAATGGCTGACCAAAAAACATGCCGGAGGAGAGAAACTCATGTTTTTTTATTTTGAATTATAATAATTTTCTTGCATGTAAAAAAAAAGAAGAAGAAAAGGTTGAATACACCTAACAAAAAAAAAAAACCAAAAGAAGAAGCAAAGAGGAAAGAATGAATCAATCATCATCGACTTGAATATTTTTATGAGCTGAGCGATCGAGTGCAGCGCGTTTCTGATCTCTGATTTTAGACTGAAGTCTGAGATGAGCGCCGATGGGAGTTTTCTCAGGGGGAAGATCGGCCAAGAAGGCGAGCGAGCGGGCGCGATCCTTGGGTCCGAAGCCGAGATGGGCGCGTTTGTCCTCGACAAAGTTCTTATTAGCTTCCAACTTCTCGACAAGAGTTTTGATATGGCCGACCAATTTCTGATGTTTGTTGAATTGTTTGGAGAATTTTTTGAGGCTGGTGAGAGCGGGTAAGACGAGCTCGGGGAAGCCAATCGACTTGCTCATGCAAGCATGATCCTCCAGCAACAAGTAGCTCGTTTCTTCTGCCACCCCGTCCGCATACACTCGACTGTTCTCGTGCGACTTGGGACATCGAAGGAGGTACCCCCAGTCCAGCGCTTTCAGACTCGTCGACGTCGGCTGTCGCTTGAACAGCGGCGAGTCAATCATGTCCAGAAGGAACGGTGTCAGAGGAATAAACGTTCCCGTTTGTTGGATCAATCGTAACAAGAGTCGGATACAATGAAACCGGAGAGGATAATACTGCGAAGTTGGAATCAACCTATGTGTGTGAGTTTATAACAAGGAATAAAGAAAGGTGTGATCAGTTCAAGGGAATCGTTCTCGATATTGGATTTGAATGAAGAAACCTACTTGATCACGCCAATGGTGATCTGGACGAGAGGGTAGATAAGGGGCTGCAAGGCACTAGGCTCAGATCTTGACCCGTTGCTATTCTTTTCACAAGCCAAAGAGAGGACGAGAGACCAGAAATCCAAGCTGTGGATGTACTGCCAATTGTAGACGGCCTGGAATCCTTCCTATTACCAAAAAAAGGCACATCGGATCAAAAACTAGGGAACCTGTCGTGAAACAGATAAATTCAAAAGTTTACCTTAGTTTTTAGCTTCATACTGTTTCGTAAATGGATAGCTAATTGTCAAATGTAGCTGAAGACAATCGGGTATGAGGTCTCGGTGTTGATCAGATAAAGGCCCGACGCTGAGTTCTTCATCAAGTTGATTAGCGGTAAGGTGAAGACGGTGGTACTCTTGGCGCTTCTGATTAGGGCAGTGTATACACCCTAGACAATCATAATTAAGTGAGTTTCGAGCAAGTTGAGATCGTTTTGAGCGGTCAACTTCTTACCTTCATGATAGACTCCATCGTCGTGCTATCTGCGGCTACTGCAATCCTTCTGAGCGAGAGTATGGCGGCCACAAAAACTTGGTCTGAAGAGGAGGACCATAGCTCTAGTGAAGTCTGCAAAAAAGGTAATAATGAGTGATCCAGAAAGAAAAAAGGCAGATCTGACTGGAACGATATGTACCTTAATCCAAGTCTTCATAATCTTACTATTTCCAATGATCCAATGGGGTAAGCTTAGCACTCTCACTGACGGCAGTATGTAGCATGCTATCTTTCCCTGAATCTCCCTTCTCTTGCAATGGAACTTGGGCTGCCAATTCAGTCAGAGAGGTAAAGTATGACTTAAGCATTCGTTGCATCGACGCATACATTTTGGAGTTGTTGGCGATTTTACTATCCGGTGAGTTAATCCAATATTAGATCTCTGGTGGTTCATTTCATATCAAGAAAGGATGCCAAGGAGGAACTTACAACTTCCCACTCGGAAGCTCTCTTGTGGGAAAACTCTGGTTGAGGAACACTGGTAGATACCTTAGTGTGGTAGTGATCAGGGCATTGAAAACTACAAATTTGAGTAGGACTTATCAGCTAAAAAAAGAAACTTTAGAATGATTTTCTGAATCCTAAAATCACTAACCTGAGGATGATTTGATTGAAAATAGAACATTGGTCAATTTGCTACCGGAGCTGAACGCAGCAGACTTGAAAGCAAGTAAGAGCTTGCGCAAGGCATGCATTGATTGGTTCTAGAGATAAGATGAAATCGATCTAAATCTGTGAGAACGGAAACAAGTTGTGATTACCTCTAGGATAGCTTTCTGCCAAGTTCTGAGTAACTCCTCGGTCAATAAGACTGTTGTAGGTGCTTTAGAGCTTGTTGGATCATCATCATCCTCCTCTTGTTGAATGTTCTGATCCTGCATTGGAGCCTGGTTTATTGTTATCAGTGGAACCTTTGTCTTCCTTTAATTGGAGTCATCCTTTGTCTTTCACATACTCTAGAGTCTAGACTATAGCAATTGATACCCTCATTTAATTTCCTCAAGCTCCTACTTTGACAAAATTTGAAGTCAAGTGGATCACTATCAGGTTCTCTGTCTCTCCATGAGCCCTCAATTCTTTTTTGGTTAAAAGTCTTCTTGTGTCATGTGGTGAAGCAGTGAAAAGTTTACCAGAAAATGCAAAAACATAAATTCCTGAATAATGTCTTGTTCATAAATGAATTGAGGTGTGTATTGTGTAAGAAGCTCTGCAAAAAATTGTAGTTATCAATTTATCACTGAAAGCAAAAGTTGTGCAAATGTTTGCATTTGGCATGGGCTATTGCAAAGCTAAGGTGCCTTTCTAAAATTGCATGTCAACTGAAAACAATTGCACAACTTTTCCTTGCAGTGTATGTTTATACATTTATGCACCAACTTTGAACCTATTTATGGTATTCAAAGTTGAAATGCATGAAATCATAACCGCATAGATCATAAGATCTTAAAACCTTGTTTGCAGGGGATCTTGGTAATCTGATTATGTAAGCTTTGGCTTTCCCAGCCAAAATGTTTTATGATTATATAATTTATGCACTCTATGATTTCATGCATTTCAACTTTGAATACCATAATTGGAGGTATAACTTCCAAGTCTGTCCATCTAATTTGAAGGAAACCCCCCAATGGATGTCTGTTGGTGTTTTTTGGGAATTGGGGGCTAGAAAATGGAAGTTGTTTTTCCAACCTCATAAATTCATGTGGAATATTTTGCAATCATTCACTACATTAGTGGTATTCAGAGTTGAGTGGAAATGCCTTTCAAAAGGGTTTGCCAGTCAATCTGCACAACAAAGCATGCATGTTCAGCTCCCATTACTCATTAAAAGGTTAGATGTGGCTAGTAGAAAGCCATTTGTGAAGATCTCCATGCATAAGAGTGACTTGCAAAATGTTTTGCAAGTCACTTGCACTCAACTGTGAAACCCCCTAATAAAGAGGCAGTTGGAAAAACAGCCACCAACCTTTGGGGTAAAAATTACCAAAATTTTGGAAACATTGAGAGCCAGTCCTGAGTCAGGATGAAAGTGGGTCGGGTCAACCCGCAAGTGACCTGCGACCTGTTGGGTCTTGGGGCGGGTTTGGGTTGACTTTATGTAAAAAAAAACTAAGTGACCTGACCCGCGTGTGACCCGCTTGAATACCAGGTTGGCCAAAAACCCTACTACTGACCCGCTTGAGGGCAGAGTCCGTGGGTTGGCTTCAGCCTTCAGAATCTGAACGGTCCCACGCAGCCTTCAGGAATCAGGATCCCTCAGCCCTCCGTTCAATTGGTCATCAACCTGACCTACACCTAGACAACAAGCGCTTCAGGATTTGTGATCATGGATTCTATCACTCTTGGACTTGGAACGACTGACAACGCTTTGAATCGATTGAACTTGGAATCTCAATTCTTGAGCTTGGAACTTGACAGACGCTTTGTGCAGAATTGTATGACCAATCAAAGCTCAAACCCGCAAGAGACTGTCCATCGCCAATTGCTCAAGACCACCCCTGCTGATGCAAGAATGGCTTGCAG